CGCCATGCCTAGCGCAAAGCGCCGCGAGCGCACACCGCCGCCGTCCCGGGAGCACGAGGCACGACGGCTCCTTTGGCGGGACCACGTTGGTACCGGGCCGCTGCGGGCTGGGGGGTGGGGAGCGGGAGGAGGAGCGTGAGCAGCAGAAGCTGGAGCCGGGAAGGAGCAGCCGCTGCGCACGCGCCCGACCTGCCACTGCGCACGCGCTCGCGGAAGTCGTGGCTCCCTTGTGACGGTTGCTCCTGGGTAGGCGGAGCAGGAGACGGAAGGGCCGCAGCGCGCAGGCGCGTAAACGGTTCTTCGCCGCGCGCGGTGTCTGACCTCAGTCCGGCGAGGTGGATGCTGAGCGCGCTTCTCCTGCCGAATCCCGCTGTGCTAAGGGGACGGTTGTTCGGGCAGGATCCTCTACGACTCCTTTTCCGGTCTTCCATCGTCACGGGGAATAAATCTTTCTCGAAACTCGCTAGCGCGCTCCCAGAAAGGCGATAAGATATTGAAGACTTCTTCGTATCCTTCCATTGGACACCGAGCCCAGCTTCTACGGCATCCGCTGTGGGCAGTTTTGCTGGGTGTTTGATGCCTTGGTAAGAACATTTAGAACCGTTCGGTATCATTGTTTTCGGACTTTCCATGTTGCCTTGGCTATTGGTTTTATGGTATAACGGTGACTGCTGACACATTGGGCAGAAATGATGTGAAATAGAAATCATGCTAACAGAGAGATAAGGTCCTGGTATTGTCCTTTCTCGTAGAAAAAGTATCTTCCCCCGTAGCTCTTAAACTTCACTCTTCACTTGCACTTATTTTCCTGGATGTGTTGTTACCTGATCGGCACCAAACTTGTTTTGTGCAGATTGAGATAAATCGATATATTTAAAGATGAATAATTGCAACTAGTGAAGGTTTATGCAGTTTTGATAATTGGCCAAGTGCTATATATAAATGGTATATACAAGTTGTGTAACCCTTATCCCAAAGAGTTCTGGCAGACAATGCGCTTCACTTTCCATCTGCTTTTCCAAAGCAAGAAAGCTCTTGCTTTCTCTGGTAAATACATAACCTGAAAACCTCAACAGTTTTATTATCTGTTAAAGTCTACATATCTGTTTATGTGATTGTGTACTCAGCAAAATGTTTGCTGGACTTAAATCACTGCTTCCTATTCCTACTCCACTTCTGGTATTTGGATCTAGTTTGGTACATACCCAGTATTTGCTGGCATTATCTTTCCAAGACACAGAAAAGCCACTTCAAGGTAAAGGGATTTATGACAGGTTATGGTTTGAATGTCACATTCTGCCTGTTTTAGGTCAGTAGGCAATTGGAATTTATAAGGAATTCTTTGACTATTCTGATTTTCTTAATTCTTCATTTTCTTTTCACTAATTTCCCTGCTTTGTAGTTGCATTATCTTTTTTTCAAGGCGAAATGTTAATATTTGAAAAACTTTTTTTAGAATATCAGTTGGGTGCTCACTCAACTGTATAACCTGTGTTTTTCATATTTAAATCATGAATTACTGGTGTTTCCATAAGTATCTCATTTACTTTAGGTCGGTTGTTCCAAACTCAGCTGCATACTGGAATTGCCTGGAGAGCTTTTAAAAATCGTGGTGTCCAGATCACACCATGCCAATTAAATTAGATATCAATTTTTTTTTAAAGGTTCCCAGGTGACTCCAAGGTACAGCAAAGTTTGGGAGCCAATGCTTTATATTCCTTCTTCCAGATTGCTAAGAATGTAATAACATTAGTCAGTATAAGGTTTAATCTTCCAATTTACCATTCATACCTTTATCTATGTCTACCCATGGATACCATATAATGGTGTTTTTTTCCTTTTTTTTCTTAATCCTTGTGCAGGGGCCATGCTAATCTTCTCTGTAGCGATCCAATTTTAGTATATGTGCTACCTAAGCGAGACAATAGGGTTTCTTTTATGTTTAAAATTTACGTGAATGGGTAGAAATCACTCTTAGAACACTACAAAGGGCTGGGTGCAGTGGCTCAAGCTTATAATCCCAGCACTCTGGGAGGCTGAGGCCAGAGGATTCCTTGAGGCCAGGAGTTCAAGACTAGCCTGGGCAACATAGTGAGACCCCATTTCTAAAAAAAAAAAAAAAAATAGAAAAATTAGTTGAGCATGGTGACACGCACCTGTAGTCCCAGATACTCGGGATGCTGAGGCAGGAGGATCACTTGAGTCCAGAGTTAGAGGCTGCAGTGAGCTATGATGGCATCACTGCACTCCAGCCTGGGCAACAGGGTGAGACCTTATCTCTAAAAAAAGAAAAAAGAACACTACAAAGTAATTATAGGCAAGATCTACTGATGGGTGCTTAGTGGTTGAAAGGTTGAAGAAAAACAAAATATCTGCATAGTCTCAAAGTAAACTTGATATTTATTAGTTACAAAAGAAAAAAAAGTAACTTTACAGGCAGAAACCTGGCAAAACACCATCTTAACTAACTGATCATGGTTAACATCAGTAGTAATAAGAGATATATTTTTTTGAGACAGAGTCTCACTGTTTTTGCCCGGGCTAGAGTGCCGTGGTGTCAGCCTAGCTCACAG